ATACTATTTTAGTCTGTATTGTCTTCTATGGTCCAATGTGCTAGGACACTTCAATCAATCAGTTTTGAAGTCGAAACACGACTAGGGTGAAGCGTAAGTATATTTCTGAAGCAGAAAGTTGATCAGCTATATGTTGATTAAAATGATCATAACATACGAACGGAGGCACTGAATACAAATCACAAAAATATTGCAAACAAAATTCCAAACTTCACTCTGTATAAATCAGTACATATGTTGAAAAATAAAGAATTAATTTATGTATGCTAAGATTGATTTCTTGATAAGTGTAGAATTTGGGGGGGGGGGTTCGGTTCAGCCACTGAACACTAATTTTAAATTGTTGATCAGACAGGCTAGACAGATGAATAAAAAAGATTACACAAGAAATTTAGTTCTCAGTTAATAAAGACAGTACTGCTCTAACTAAATGGATTGTCTGCCTACTCCCCATAGCCTGCACACAGTGCAGTCTGACATGTCCGGGAACACTACGGACTCAGTAGGCTTATTGTTTCTTTGTGTATTATAATTCTTTATCTTGTTTTTTAGAATCAACGTTGATTTACTAGTTAACAGAGGTAGTGAAAAATTTGAAAAGCCAAGTCGAAATCCGAAACAATCCTTGGGCTGGAGAGAACATATATGTGGTATTGCTACTTAAAGTACCAGTTATGCAAGTACAGAAGTATTTACATTAATACCGACATGTGAGTCTTTAGTCTTAGTGATAGTGAAGTGGAGGACTTGTTCATGTTATAAATCATGATAGCAGATAAACTACATACCACACCATATGCATTCGATTTCGACAACAATCAGATCCAAATGAGGGGAGCGATCCAAGTTTTGCTTCTTCCAAATTGTGAATACACTCAACTCAGATGCTAAATAATCCAGGTTGTTTCATCAGCCAGATTTCAGTCATTTTCGGCTTATAACTTTGCTATCTGGCCAACTAATGTAGGGAAAGCAAAACTTAACTGGTGGAACTGCGAACTAATTATCAGGAAACCGTTAAGTAAAGTCTTATGACAAAACAGATTTCCGCTCAACTCGATTAACCATGTGTACAAAACTTACTTCTCTCAGAAAAGTTGTAACTAATAAGTAGGTAACCATTCTGGAGTGATTGGTTTCATAAATCCTCTCTCGTTTATTCTTATGTTACAGCTGACGAGATCCTACACTATCTATTACTCACGTAATACAATATTTTGACGTGTATATTTTTCAGAATAAATTGATTTCCGTGCGAAGATATTACTAACAAAACAATTGAGTACCAAAAGATTGAAGTCATCGGTTACCGGCAACAAGGAGCATTCAGAACAGCAATGGAGTTGACCCTTTTTATTATTAGAGTCTACATGCAATGAAAATGGGTTTTTTGAAGAAACGTATCAAGTAGTTTTTACTGTTTTCACCCTCTCGCTATCAATCCTGATAAGTGATATGATACAAATACAATTTCTTCATCAACGTCTCACATCAAATCGGCACTCGACTACCGTGAAACTAATTATTTAAATGTAGACAAAAATCCCTGCAAATACGATATCCTATCTCTTCTGCGTAAATTAGCATTTATGTTTTGCATGTCGAATTTTTCCACGTGAGGTGGTTTGTATTTTTACTATTTGTACATTAAGTTTTCAATATTAAAGTATTTGACATACATTCTAAATGACTTTATAAGCAATCACTGTTCGTTTAAATCAATTTTCTTCACTATCCTTTATTAATTTGATGAATAAGATAACTCATTTAGACTAGTTGGGAATATGAAGTATATTGAAATAGACATTAAGAATTCTTTATAATGTTGATAAGTCGATATATTCTTTCTGTTTAGAGTAATTGACTGATCAATTGTTGATATTAATCAGTAGCATTGTTTTGTCAATAGAATTAGAATGCGATATGAAGTACAAAATAGTTCTTCATTAAAATGCCTAGATCTGGTTAAATTATAGAGCATGACATCATACTATGTAACGAGTGTTACATATGGATTCCAAAATTTTACAAAGTCCAGAAGCTGGCGCACAGAAGAAATGTCATTGATTAATATTCATGTCGAGAACAAAATATTTGGAATACGTTACTAAGTCCAATTCATTCATTTTTGCAAAAATAACTGGATTTTCAATTTTGGTAATGAAATACAATTCAGTTAGTATCGATTATATATTTTAGTCAGTTAAAACGGTAAAGTTGTCATACCACATTAGTATAGAGACGCAACTGTTACTGACCATGTTTCGTGCCTATATGGTAGGACGGAGCGAACTGATGCACAGTAAACCCGTCTTTTTACTAGCGAACGAATATCTCGCCTACGCCATAAGTGACGCCAGTCGGTAAAAGCCAGTCAAGCCTTCTGTATCCGTGCTGAGATTTGGTCAGACACCCGGCCATCAGCACTGACCAGACTCCCAGGATAAGTGGAGGGGTTAACATATTCAACTGTCTCATTTTATGACTAGTTCAGGTGCCGATGCAAGCCAATATTGAAACAACATTTTGCAATTCGACGAGAAGAGTCTCATCCCGAACAGTCAGAAGAATCTGCATTTTGCCGGGGTCTTCACCAAACGGAACAATGTCGTCAGCATACTCTTAAGTCAACGAGAGAACCTCCTGGTAAGAGTTCAACTCCTGAAAAGTCAGATGAAGAACGTGTCGCATCTAAAATCACGCGAAAGACAAAGTTAAACAAAAATGGAGACAGTGGACAACCATGACGAACACTACTTGAAGTAATCGATTCCGGTGACAGCTCACCATAAACTCTAACCTAACTAATAGTGTTCAAGTAGAGAGCAAGTACATGGCTAATGTACTTCTCTGGTACATTTTTCAACGACAGACACTACCACAGAATTTCATGATCGAGAGTCGAATTCCGCCTTAAGGTCCATAATTACAACTACTGCCGGAGATAGAAAGGTGTGTTTGTGTTCCAGAAGCTGGCAAAAGTGTAAATGTTTGGTTGACACGTCCACGTCCGAACGAGTCTCGTTTTCTCGAGTCCGCTCTTCACGAGCTCTAGTTAGGTGTAGAAGTCTTATCAATGCTAACACCATACTAGCCAAATTGATTCCTCTGTGATTGTCACAAGAGGACATTTATCTTTTGTCATAGACTGGGACATCAGTGCTTGGGACCAGTTGGATCGGATAACGCCCATATCCCGAATTCTGCCTAAGATGTCAGTCAACCTAACTGCTAAAACTGGTCCGTTATCCCTTAAAATCTCACGGATAATCTATCACGACCCGCTGCTCTCCCTTTCGTTAGATTTCCTATAGCTTTCTCGACTTCATAGAGTCGGAGGACTTACGTCGATTTGTCATCCAGGTAGACTGGAGATTGCGGGCAACCGAAATGTGACTGAAGGCCAGGTGAACTGATCCGTGGAGAGTGGTTTCAGGAGACTAGGAATTGTGTTTTGTGAACTCGAAATAAATGCATCAGCGGCGCGTGGCAAAGGAAGAAAAGAATAGTTGGTCGAGGAGATTTACTAAGATGTGTACGAGGGATTTAATTGTCAGCAAGCTGATCTCGTGTGATGTTACGGGTAGGAGGGCAGATGCCACTTCCCGGCTGCCCACACCGTTAGAAAAGTTGGATTAGAGTTGGTCCTGGCGAACTGGAAGCGTGACCGCAGAACCCAACGGACAACTGCTTAAGGTCGGTCACGCACGACCTTTTCATGAACTTTTAATGTGTTAGCTCCGCTCTTCAAAAGGCCTTACCATTGGAGACAAATCCGTGGGGTAGAGTGTGCTGTGACATTCTTACGGTAAACCCTTTCTAACCCCTTCCTTCCTAGTGAGAAGGCAACATCGCTGCAGATGCTGGTCGTCCGACGGAAACAACTTACTACTGTCACACCCCTCTGTAGTCAGCAGTACGACTTTGTCTCAGACCTTAAGTTGCTTCTTATAGTCTTACCGTTCTCCAATTGACTTGCCTGGCATGGTACGGTCTAAACGAACAAGGGTTCCAGTAAATATAGCTCGGTTGGGTCATCACGATAGGCAAGCCCGACTACCACGTCAAGGTAGAGGCTACGTTCGGGAACAATAATTTGATCAGATTTAAATTCAATTATATCTAAAAATTGGACAAACATCAATGTTGTAATTAAATTAATGTTTGAAGAAGGAAATAATATCATTGAAAAGTTTGATTATATGTTCATTAATCAATTCTCACTTATCTATCTACTGACACCATCATTGTCGTGTTTAAGTTTCACAAAATTATAAATAAGAGTTGTAGTGAAAATACATGGTTATTACAATAATGACATTAAACCATTTTAGAATTAGGTTTACACAGATATTACTTCATTTACTGAATTAAAAGTGAAAATGGAATTTATTTACTACGAAATTTGCACATTGAAGCCTCTGTTAGAATTCTGACAAGTTGGTAGTTTTTTCAATGACATAATTCAAGATATCATCGTTCTATGTCCCACAATAGATGAAAAACAAAACGAACCATCAAGAATTATTGAACAATAGAAAATACAAAGAACTACAAAAAGCTAATTTGCCATTGAAGTATATCATGAACATGGAAAAATATAAATAAGTAGTATTAAGAATATTAATTCATGAACAAAAGCTATTATATACACAAGTAAATATATGTAATAAAAACATGACAAAAAAACTATCGCCGACAACTCCAGGTGAACAAATTAATAAATAGTATTGGCAGTACCAAAATTACGAAATTGAAACTTTAAACGCTACAAGGGAGGGGGACAAATATATAATTTAAAAAAATGCAAAACAGCTAAGCAAAGAGTAAAAATTACGATTTTGCTTAACAACGAAAACTAAAACTCAGTTGAAGTAATTTAAATATTTGAAAAAGTAAACACCAAAAAAGCTAATTTTTGAGATCATAGACAAAAGGAATTATATACTTCACGAAGGTGCCAAGGTTGGAGTTCTGATACTCACGATGCAGATAGATAATTAGGAGCTGAAATAAAAAGGAAAAAAAAGCCATGAAAAGAGAGAAGAAATACTGTGATAGACATCAACGTTAGGAACTCGAATTATCTCTTGAAGTGAGTGAAGAAAGAACGCACGACTAAGATCATTAAAATAAAGCGCAGCCCATGTTTAGAATAATTAATATACGTAAATACAAAAAAAAGTACAAAACAACTAACTACTTATCTACATTAACACAAAAATCTCGAAACACAACTAGAATGGAGTTTATTTACTTTAAAGTAAATGCTACACACATTTATTGATCCTATATGGCAGAAATGAAATAGAAGAAGAATTAGTAAAGATTATAGCTTTCAACTCTATTTGAAGAAATTCTAAGTTGCTTATATGAATTCTCTAAAGGACTATCAAATGTTAACACAGCTTGTAAAATCTTACAGGTATATATGCGACTTTTGGACTTTAAAAATAGCATCGGATAACAAACGGAACAACTGAAGAAAACACTAATGCAAAATGGATAGCCTTGAGGGGAGGTGATAATATCTATGGGCTAGAAAATTCTTATATTTTTTAAGATGAATTAAACGATAACATAAGCATTATTATGTTAACGTAGCGAAATTGGAAATGTACTCTTTTTATATCAAGTACTGATATGAAACAGGTTACATATCAACGATGATAGGTTTTTATCAAGGCACATGTATCATTTTTTCTGGAACTGTTTATATAGTTTCACAGAACGCACTCAAAAAGTTAGCGCATGAACATATGATAAGTTAATTCATGTCATCATTATTATAATCCGCTTGATAATAAAAATCTCATGAAAACAAACAAAGCATTTCTGACTATACATTGAGTTTTTGAAGACTTATCAAATAGTGCCCGAAAATGAATGTCGGGTTTTTCGAATACAACAGAACGACGCATTAAAAGTTACAAATTAGATATGTCTTTATAGATTGTTATTATTCTTGATACTTATTTACGCCTGTTACCCCCAATGGAGCATAGGCCGCCGAACAGTATTCTCCAATCTACTCTATCCTCGCCTTCCGTCTCCAGTTCAGTCCAATTTCTGTTTATTCTTCTCATGTCTTTCGCGATTTCTCGGTGTAATGTATTCTTTGGAGTACCTCATTTCTTTTGTCCTTGAGGATTCCATGTGAGGGCTTGTCGTATAACGCAGCTAGGTGCTTTCCGCAGTGTGTGTCCTATCTACTTCCAACGCTTGCTCCTGACTTTCTCCTCCGACGGAATCTGTTTTGCCCTCTCTCATATTAGGTTGTTTCTGATGATGTCTGACGAACGGATCCGAAGTATTTTGCGTAGACAACTGTTAATAAATACTTGTACCTTCTGGATGATGGTTTCTGTGAAATCTAGGTCGCCCAGCTGTATCCTAGATGTCCACTGTAGACCGTGCTTCAATCCAGATGTTGATGTTTTCATAATCCAGTCGATCACCGGGAGAAACAGTAAGGGTAAGCAATTTTGCCCGACATCGGTCTGTCAGCAGTCCTCCGTGCACTATTTTGCAGTTTAAGCCATCCAGGTAGTTTCGTATTATGTTAAATATCTTCTCAGGCAAGCCATAGTGTAGAAGAAGCCTCCATAGTGTTATCCTGTCCACGCTATCAAATGCTTTTTCGTAGTCGATGAAGTTGATGTAGAGTGGTGAGATCCATTCGATTGATTGTTCCACAATGATCCATAATATTGCGATTCGGTCGGTACACGAACGCTGCTTATGAAATCCAGCCCGTTGATTTCAAGTTTGGGAGTCTATGAAGTCCTAAATTTTGTTTAACAACGCCCTGTTGAAGACTTTGCTTGGCAATGAGAGAACAGTGATGCTTCTCTAGTTCTTACACTTGCTGAGATTGCCTTTCTTTGGTATTTTGATCAGATATCCTTCTTTCCAGTCTGTTGATGATACTTGTTCATCGTCCTAAATCTTATTCAAGAGTACGTGGAATATTTTTGCAGTTGCTGACAGGTCTGCTTTCATTACCTCTGCTGGAATGTTGTCTGGTCCCGCTGCTTTGATTTGTCTGATGACCATACTGATCTCTGCAATTTTCGGTGGGCCAACATTGACTGGGAGGTTTGTGGATGCTGCTTCGATGTTGGGTGGGTTCAGTGGAGCTGGTCGATTAAAGAGATACTTACAGTGCTCTACTCATCTGATCCGCTGTTCTTGAATGTTGCTGTTTACTTTGCCTTCCTTACTTTTCGCTAGTTCATCCCGTTTACGATAGTTTCCAGAGAGCTTCTTTGTTATGCCGTACAATTGTCTCAAGTTTCCTTATCTTGAAGCCTTTTTCGCAGTCATAGATAGATCTTCCACAAAATTAAGTTTGTCGGCTTTTATGTTTCTCTTCACTTGCTTGTTTGCGTCTGTGTATTCAATTTGTGCCTTGATTTTCTCTGCCTTTTTTTCGGCTGACAGTGATTGCTGCCTTCTTGTTCTCTCTTTCTAGATCTTTTTCAAGAGTACCAACAGAGATCCATTCCTTGTGATGGTACTTCTCGTGACCCAGAACCTCCTGACATGCTGAAGTGATTGCCTCTTTAATCCCCTTCTAATTAATCTCTTTGGTTGTTTCCTCTCCAATGAGTTGATCGTGGAAGGCCCGGAACCTATTGCTGAGGGTTATCCTGAATTCGTTGAGTTTGCCCAATATCCCGAACAAAGGCCATATTAAACTTTTTCGATGTTGTCTGCCCCGTCGTCCAGGTTTTCTCGAGTTACACTTTCGATTTGACGACCAGTTATTGGTGATCTGAGGTTATATCAGCTACTCTCTTGTGTCTCACGTCCTCCATGGTCCTTCCGAACTTTCGATTGATACAGATATGGTCGACTTCGTTCTGAGTAGTGTGATCCGCTGAAATCCATGTAGCGTTGTGTATGCGTTTTTGTGGGAATATTGTACCGCCGACGACCAGTTTGTTGAATGCACATAGGTTTAGAAACCGCTCACCATTTTTTCGTCCTTTCCTCCCAGTCCATGTCGTCTAATGATGTCTTCATATCGACTGTTGTCCATGCCAACCTTGGCATTTAGTTCTCCCAATAGAACGGTTAAATCCTTTGATGAGCACCTATTGACAATCGACTGCAACATCTTGTAGAGTTGAATTTTAACGTCTCCATTGTGGTCGTTGTTAGGTACATAGTATTGGATTACGTTCATCGTAATGTCCTCTTTCTTTGTTTTGAAGGATGCTCTGATGATTGTGGCTTCATGAGATCCTCATCCCATAATTGCAACTTGTTGTGTGTGTGGGGCATTTCCTTCTTCATGACCGGAGTATAAGAACAGCTCTCCTGAAGCCAGTCTTAGTTTTCTATTCTGTGTGCAATGTGTTTCGCTGAATTCCAAGCACCTCCAGGTTGTATCTTTTCATGTCTGCAGCAATTTGGAACAGTCTTCCAGTCTCCCACACTGTTCGGACATTCCATGTACCTAAAAGAATGGTTGCTCTCGTTGTCAGAAGAGGCATCGGCCTTATGATTTTTTAAGGAACTCGGCTCTGATCATGAGGCGTCATAACTCTTCTGAATGAAGAGCTAATTCCCAGGGCGGAGTTAAAATGGTTTGAATTGATTTTCCTTGTTAGCGTTTTTTAGCGAGTTAGTTTTATATGGGATGGGGTCACCAGCCCTCCTCCTTTCTCCGGGCTTGGGACCTGTAGCAGCCCTAAAGGAGCTCCAAGCGGAGTTCTTATTCTTGATATGTTCCTTTGAAATAAGCATTTTATCTATAGGTTGACTTGAACAACTCACTGCATTAGAAAATTGAGAGAGTAGATATAAAACCAGTACTTTTTTATTGCATATAAGCTGCACATTAACATGTATCCATCATGTTAATATGAAAAGAAAATGCTGAAACAGAATAGTGATTGTCAGTATTTTACAACAATGTTTATCAGTATTTAGATATAGGAATTGAGTTTCATTGAAATAAAAAATCGACCTGTGTTAGGTCCTCACTTAAAACCTTAGATCCCTGGACGGACGTTTTGACCTAGTATTGAACTTCGTAGTAGTTAGTACACATACATAACTCCGCAATGACTCTTGGTTTCGCGAAAACATTTACATGAATACTTCTAAACCGGTATATCACATTTGTCAATCAGTCAGCAATTACATAGAACTTTGTACGTACATCAGTTCAAGTTGCCATAATACATTATCACCGAGATGCAATTGTCGATTCTAATGACGTAGTGGTAGATGTACTAGAAGTATTTAGCGTTAGTGGAGAAGATTAGCGTGAGGAGATATGATTCATGAAGTATAATCCAATCAGAAAACTCAACACCAACATCAGTCACCACACGACAAACTTGGCTTATAGTTTCGTGAAAAGTTTTATAAATGGATACCGAGTTACAACAGTCCAGTAATTTCAGTTAGTAAAAAAATCAACCTTCTACTTGGATAAAGCAACAAATATTGAAATACAAAAATATTCTAAGACTAAATAGAAATTGAAACTCCAAAATGAACAAACTTTGTTGATGGATCATCGGGACATTGAAATCCGGCAGCTATAAGTGCATCCCGAGCAAGTTGACGATTAGCTTTAATGATTGACATTTCATGTTTTATAGCCTCATAATCATCTCGGATATAACATAAATTCAGGCTAGTCGAATATAATTCATTTAAGTCATTATTATTATTATTATCTGATTTCGCGAACAATTTGTAATTCTCACATAGCTTTTTTATTTGTTGATATGAATCTTCAACATCAGTTTGATCATTTTTTAATTCTGAAAATCATAATTTTTTTTAAAATACGAAGATAAATAGGTACTGCAGTGTAAAAAAAAATTATACTTGATGAATAATTTGAATTTGCTATAATAAATCCCATTACATTTGAAAGTTATTTATAATAAAGAACTAATAGTTTCAGATGGATTAATATGAGTTAGTGTTCTTTTACAATTTACAGCACATTCATAAAATAAGGGTATCTGGGAAATTACAACTCTGATAGTGGTATGAGTAAGAAAAGCCTTAAATATTTGCCACCCTCTTCCAACTTAAATAAGCTTTATATGAAATACTTTTGTGAAGCAAATAGCCACACAAAACCTAGTAGGTAAATAAATACCAGTTTATTTATACATCATATTTGGACATAAATACGAAAAAGACAGAATAATCTTTGGTTGTTTTTACTTTTCATTCATTTTAGATTATTAATTTCGATAAGGAAATTCATCTCATGTAACCGATTTGCCAATTACTAGTTTATGCATTCGAGCTAGAACTACCTTGCTTGTATGAAGAGGATACTGATACTAACCGACCATCAAAACCGAATTAGGTGGAAAGTGAATGATTTAACTACTAAGCCACCAATCACTAGCAAGTGATACGCTCAAACATTGAAACCAGGCACTAATATAAATATTATTACTTGTATATGATAAAGAAATAAAAGAAGGGTTATCGGTAGAGATAAGAGAGTTATTGAGATATGTAGGAGGGATTTAATTGTCGGCAAGCTGATCTCGTGTGATGTTACGGGTAGGAGGGCAGATGCCACTTCCCGGCTGTCCACACCGTTAGAAAAGTTGGATTAGAGTTGGTCCTAGCGACCTGGAAGCGTGACCGCAGAGTCAATGGGAAAACTGCTTGAGACCGGTCACGTACGACCTTTTCATGAGCTTTTGACGTGTTAGCTCCGCTCTTCAAAAGGCCTTACCATTGGAGACAAATCCGTGGGGTAGAGAGTGGTGTGACATTCTTACGGCAAACCATTTCTAACCCCTTCCTGTAGCAGCTACGATCGGACAAACAAAGATTGTGTTCAAAGAAATAAAATAACGCTTAAAATGTGATAAATTGATGGAAATCATTTTCAAAACCGTCATATTTACAAACGCCATTATTCATCAGTTATCAACATCGGATTTGGTACAAATGTGTGTAGAAAACTATCAGTCTATAAATACATTGCTGCAAGTCACTAAGGTAATGTTGTAATGAAGCTCGGTAAAATAAATAAATAAAGATGAACCTTACCTAATAAATCGGAATCCATCACCGGCAACAATCCACTACAAGATAGATGATAAGTAAACAAATTATGACGGAAATTAAGGAAACAAACACTAAAGTGAACTTAACAAATTGAAATTATGTGAATAAAGATTACCACATGAAGGAAGAAAAAATAAATATTAGTCCAAGTAATAAAAATATTTACCAGGTCACCAAAATGCGAAAATGAAAGCATTGTCAAGTAAAACTCACTATAATAATAAATGTAGAAATTATTGTAAACAAATCAATATGCTTTCGAAGTGTACTTAATAATTGGTGCGTAGATTATATATAATATATAATATATAATCAGAGGATTAAATGCTATTAATTTTCCAAAAACATAATCACTAGGGCTAAAAATGCAAGTTGAAAAAATTATAAATAAAAAGCTAAAAACCAAGTGGGAAGCTTTTACTGAATGAAGAGAAATAAACAATCATCACTTGAAACAAGGCATAAGTATCATAACAATTGACTGACAATAAACATGGTTTATTAACGATTTGATTTTGAGAAAAAGTGTTGATATTGAAGTAACACCAAACTAAAAAAGACTAGAGCTCGACTAAAACCGACTGAACAGTTATTAATTTTGGTTTTCAGAAGTACCTCGTAATCCTAAACTAACAGTTTTATTAGATGGACCAGCAGGGATCTGTTGTAATGGCCGGAATCCGAAATGGGTGCGAGATTCTGCCGAGGGAACATATACATTTTTAACTGTATTCATCGCAAGAGAATTTACTGGTGCATGTGTTGAGAATGAAAATTTTTGAGACTGTTTAGATTCATCACCCATTTCTGGAACAATATTTGCGAGTGACGGTTTTTGAGGCAAAATGCTGTAAGGATTTTGTTTTATCGCACTAGAAGTATAGGCACTAATGTTTGATAGTGAATCTTTTTTAGTAGGACTATGAGACGAATAAGTACTAGGATGAACATCTTGTGTTGGTTGATGGTTTGTAAATTGCTCTTCAAACTCTTGGGAAAACGACAGAAACTGCTTTGTATAGAAATGGTCATTTTGCTGAGGTTGATTTAGCTTTGTTGTACTTGAGTGAGGGCTTTCTGGTGCACTGGCGATATTTGTGTAGCTCCCATGTGGGCTATTTCTACACAAAGAAGCAAGAGAATGTTGACTACCGTGTTTGCCAGCAGCAGCTGCTAAAGCTGCAACTTCTGCTTTTAAAGTATCTTCTTGTCTTTTAGCAATCTCCTGTACATTAGTGTTTGTTGATGTAGTTTCTAGCTCATCACATGACCCAGTTTTGCTACCCGATCTAAAAGAGAAATTCGCTCCAGTAGAATTAGACAAGTAGGAATTAGAATCATGAGAACCACTTTTCATAGATGTACTACACAGAGGTGGTAAACTTATTCTTGGTTTGTGAGAACGTGTGAATGTATTTGAGTTAATATGCTCGTTGCTTATTATGGTATTTGTTCCTGTCTGCTGGCTCGGAAACGAAATACCGTCTGATGAGCTAGCGGTTACCAGACGACTGGATACGATAGATCCATACATAGAATGTTCTCTACGACCTGTATTCGAACGAGATGGACATCCAGAAGTAATAAGATTTAAAGACGGCACGCTACCACCAAACTGATATGCTTCAGTTTGTCCCCCAGCCAAAATGATCGCCTCGAGGCGAGAAAGAAGATCTCGACGTGAATGGAAAAAGCAAGAATCCGGTGAATCAAATATAGCACGTAACCATGTTCTTACGGGTTCAACAGAACCTTGAGTTTGGTGCTGCTTTGGTGATTTGAATAACCAACACTCATTAGCAGGAATTCCATAATTCACTTTTGAAATATCGGTTTCTGCATTTGAGCCATTTGTACACATTAGGTTTGTTGGTAATTGAGCCAACTCAACAGAAGATAAACTATTAGAATCGCCTAAACAATTCTCACGACTTTTCACAAAGTTCATATCATTTGAATGACTGAAGCCAGAGGTTAAATTATTAGAACTGTTAGGGTTAATTGCATTCATGGTACCTGATAATTACAAAATGGAAAGTTACATTTTAACTGCGTTATGTACAATAGGAGAGTCTGAAAAAGCTTTTAAAGCTACTGAATTTCACATGATACAATAACTATGAAGCGAAAATAAATCCTAAAATCCTGGACTGAACATCAAATCTGGGATGCAGATATATCCGGTTGACGAGTGCCAAACAGGAAGAAACGCCAGCTCTGGAATTTACTGCCAGTCATATTCCAACTGTTTTGTCTATTCAGTGGTTTGGCATTTAGTCAGTCAGTCTTGAGGAACTTGAAGAGGTGAATTAGTGGTCTTAGAGACCTGGAAGCGTGACCGCAGAGCCCAACGGACAACTGCTTGAGGCCAGTCATGCACGAATTTTTTATGAGTTTTTAAAGTACTAGCCTGGTTCTTGCTTAGAAAACCTTACCTCCGGAGACAGAAATCCGTGAGGTAAGGTGAGGTGTGACAGTTTTAGGGTCGACCTTTTATAACCCCTTCCTTTCTTATGAGAAGACAGTTTCACTTCAGATGCTCAGTGACCGGAGGAAAGATTTTGCTGTTTTAATCGGACTCGGTACCAATTTCCAATAAAATGAGTAATAAATAAACTCTGCAAATATAGTGCAATAAAAACAAAAATGAGCTGTACATACGGTATAAAGTTACCATACACAAGATTCCCTAAAGCCTTAGGTCAACAGAAATGCCTGATTTTTTAAATTTCTGAGGGCCTACTTACAAATGAATCAGTGGTTTTTGTATTGTTTATTACAAACATAAGTGTACGTACAATTTGATAGAAGTAGTTCCGCTAGTAAATAACAATAAGAATTAACCAATAAAGAATGAATATGGTCCAACTATTTCACCAATCATCAGAAGTAAAAGAGATGCTAAACATGAAATTCAGATTTTAGTAGTCCGTTAATTTTCGGAATTGCTACTTTGATTCATAAAAGAACAATGACATTTACTTTGGAAGTTGTAAAAGTCATCAGAAAAATAAGGCTTTTAGGAAGCACAAGTAACTGAAGTCGTCGACAGTAGATTGAACACAAATAAAGTTCAAGTATACAGCCACTCTGAGGAAAAGCTGATTATTTCCCCGCCAAACAACATGCGATTTTATCTATGCAGGTGACGAAGGGTATGGGAAGCTGAAAACTAGCTTGTTGGGAAAGCTACAGAACAAAAGCATCTAAAATCCACCTCGAGACATATTTCTGACAACTTTCTATAAGTTTTACGGCAACGCTGCATAGTTACTATATAATTATGCCTATGTACGAGATTCACGACATAATTTATTCACTAATCATCCCAGTGAGGGGATAATTAATACGGCCATGTAAACAAAAGGCTCTATGGTGAATATAAAGCTTACAATAGTTTCAACGCTATGCGTCAGATTTATGAAATGGTTTAGGAAATTTATAATCACTGTGAGGTCTTAGTCCCAGGAAAGGCCAAACACACCGATCTCTGAAACTCTGAACTCCTGCCGCTTAAGAAACGTGGAGCTATATTATAACTGCTTCAAGACACTAATCCTAGCATTTTTGGGCTTAATAAGTCGAATTTTAAGACTAAATTTCATTTCATGGTAAATTTCGGTCGGATTTTGGAACCACAGATGAGCGAATTTTGGGACCATATATTGTAGCTCAAACGTTGGACGGAATAAGAACTTTAGCTTAACGAGTTTCCGTATTTGATAACCGTAAGTAACAGACACCTGCAGATGGGAACCCAGGCACAGTTAAGGAGCATAGGAGAAATTCTGGTAAATTGTAATGAAGTATTTTCCTGAGTCCATAAAATATGTCAAGCTTCTCTCTGAACGACTCCTGGAAGCCGCCTGCACTACCCCATAAGATGGTGAATACCAGGATTTGACTACTGGTAAGGAGTAGGTGTGTTTCTGAGTTGTGAGCTTATGTAAACACTTTAGAGAACGGCTAGGAGTGCTTAAGATGCTGTAAGTCGTTAGATCATCTATGAAAGCCTATAAACCAATGAGTGATGACCTAGTGATTTGAGGAGCTATTCAAAAGACTTAGACGAGTCCTTGCGTGACTTTGTGGCTAACTTGCGCATGAATGTTTTTGAAACCTATCCAAGGAACGTGATATTCTCCCACCTCAGTATCCCAAGTTAATATAGGCACACTTTTGACGGGATGTGTTGCTAAAGCATACAAAAATACAATGTAGCATCCAGCCTTTGGTAATTTTGAATCTATCCTGAAGGTACCTACTGTTAAGTAGTTGTGTAGAACAGTTTATGAGATTATCTAAGGGAGGAAAGGACACAAAAGTGATCAGACTCACTGTCCACATGGTATCCTTTTAAATGTAATCAATGAAGTAACCGAAAACAATTAGAAATGATACACGTGTGCAACTAAGTCAAACTCACAATAAAAACCACAAGTTGGTAGCGTTAGTTTCCAAATACGTCACAATACTAAGACTTCCAATATCCAATATATATCTTTTTCACTAGCTAGTATAGACAGTTTGATTTTAATGCACTAGATTCATGTTTTTTCGATACAGTCTCAGGTGTTTGATAGGTCGGGGTATAGCAATTCTACTGTCTAATTCTAGCCAGTTGGCAGTTGGTTGTGTCTCGTGATTTTAATGAATACGTTAGTTTCAGGACAGTAGGGTTTCTGGATACCAGCAGCTATCACATTACCAGACCGGAGATTAGTTATTTGCAATGTGAAGAATCCTACGGAAAAATTCTAATGCTAATAAGAATATTTCAGAACTAAGTAAATAAATAGTTGATTTAGTTTAGGGAGCGGACTTCCATGGAGGTTGTATATCATTTACGTCATCTGGAGCAGGATGTACATTGCGTGATATTTCAGCTGGTTTAGTTACCGCTTTTCACTGCCCATTCCTCAATGGATGTAAGGTCCTTTTGAAGCTCAGTCTAATCCTCCAGATCATTGAATAGTCTGCGTCGATCAATACCGGTGAGCTAACTGTGCCTAACAAGTCGTTAATGAATACCGGGAAGATAATTTGACATAAGATGGTCCCTTGTGAAACTCCCGTTGTCAAGACTCGCCAACTTGCGTGCACTCTATTTACCTAGGTACAAAACTTTCTATTCTCAAAGTAATTTCTGAGCCAAGATAAGAGTGGACTAGTGAAGCCTACTTTCGCCACCTTCGCGATTAGGCATGCGTGGAGTGCTATTTCGAAGGCTTTTTAACAAATAGGGGTTGATCACATGCTATGTAAACTTAGTGCGTCATCAGTGTAGTTGCATTATCGGCTAGAGTTTTTATTAAGTGCTTGACAGCTTCTTATCCTATGCCTGAAGCGAACTTCATCTATGTTTGGTCAGTTAGTGGTAGACTGAAGAAGTTCCCCACAGTGTTTAAAGGTAATTTGTGTGTTATTTAATCTATTCAAGAAGCTTGAAAGACAAACTGTTCAGTTAGTTATATCGTACATGTATAGCAAACTAAATCATCTCTCAATATAAACAATCTGTCTCCAAAAACACTACATTTGTTAGAACTAAAGGTAACCTAGAATAATGAGTGCATGATAATACTAGACACATGGTATTAAGAACATAAGGTCGCTGGTTGCTGCCTTCTTTCTCCTTCTTTCTTGAATCTTATCCAGAGTACCAGCAGAGATTCACTTCTTGTGATGGTTCTTCTTGTTGCCCAGAACTTCGTGCCATGCCGAGGTTATTGTATCCTATATTCTTTTCCAGTTAATGATAGTGATTTGTTCTCAGATAACAATGTGTTACATGAGGCATGCCAGTTTACAGGCAAGGTCGAAATGTTAAAAGTTCTAGCAAATTTACTACAAAATGTTGCACTGTTAGATAAATATTGTACAAGATACATTGTCTTTAATTTTTTCATGATAATTTTTTTATAATATAAAATATCCAGTGCTCCAGATTCTGATGTTTCCAGCACAATAGTTAGCGCAAGTTATCTAATTTGCGTTGCGAATAACTACCGCTGGTAGAGAATCAATGCAAGTTCAACCATGGGCAGTAAACGACGAGAATTGATAAAAAAGGTGTTTATTGAACACACTGATGGCACTTCCCAGATAAAGCAACTATTGGTCACCGAGAATATCAATGGATGAGTTGTCTCTTTAGGTAGTGAAACAAGTTCTAGGTTACCGATGTGAGTCACAGACATAAGTGACATGGAAAGATGACATCAACATCATCGATCAGTTACATCCTGCTCCATCAAAGGGAGACTAGCGCAAATACAGTTTTCTGCCCCATTGATGTGGGTGGATTGTGGTTATCGCCAGCCATCACAATTCCTGACCAGATGAAAGTTTCTTCTTCATTCGGTAGATCGCGAAAGGAGTGGAACTTATAACTGAGGGTTATTTTTATTTCAATGTGTTTGCCAGAATCTCGACTAACGGCCATATTAAACTTTTATGATGCTTTCCGTCCAGTTTTACAGTACTTCCTTAGTTTTAGTTCCATCTAGGCCACTAACAAGTGATGACCAGATGCTATGTCAGCGCCCTTAGACTCTGTTTCACCTTACATCGTCCTTCTGAACATTTGCGGATGTATATGTAATAGATTTGATTGTGTGTAGTGTGATCCGGCTACTGCAAGTCCCAAACCCGGAAAAGGAAGAGGATTGCGCTTAGGGTTGGCGACACCATCTCATATAAAATTAACTTGCGATAGCTAGGAAAATCAATTCAAACCATTTTAACTCTGCCTTGGGAATTAAGTCTTCATTCAGAAGAGTTATGACGCCTCATGATCAGAGCCGAGTTCCTTAAGAAATCATAAGGCCGATGCCTCTTCTGACAACCAGATCAACCATTCTTTTAGGTACATGGAATGTCCGAACAATGTGGTAGACTAGAAGACTGTTCCAAATTACTGTAGACATGAAACGATACAACCCAGAGGTGCTTGGAATTCAGCGAAACACATTGCACGCAGACTGGAAAACTAAGACTAGCTTCAGGAGA